CAGTAATTTGGTTAGTACTTCATGAAGTGTCGTTAGATAATTTATTCGAACTGCTTACTGCAATTTATTATCGTTCTTAATATTTTTGTTATCTTGGTTATATTAAAATTTTTAAAATGTTCATTATTTAAATGTAGATATCATATCAAAAACAAATAATACTATTATTTTTATTCTAAAAATATGAATAAGATTTAATAGAGACTATATTTTTTTTTTGTATTTTATATATTTTTAATTTCATTATATAACATATTCTTCTGTTAGTTCCTAAAACAACTCTGCCCAATGAATAATCATTTTATTACCACATTCCATAGTATTTTATAATATAATGGTTAATGTCAGAAACTTACCTTTGGAATTTTAAATGCCAGAAATATTTTGATATTAACTTATGGTTTATTCGTTGATATGATATTTTAAATGCGTTTTATACAATATTGTATTTGCTTTTCTAGTATTATACAGAATTAGTGTCAAATTCCTAGATGAATATTTCAGACTTTAATTTCAAGTTATGCCAACTTAATTTTTTATCAAACTCAAACTATATTTTACTAATAATGACAAAAAACTTATTTAATAATATTATTTATTTTAAACTTAAATATTTAATTTATTAGCCGTAGCAACAGTTATTACTTACCTAATAAATAAATGTATGGATTTTTAATTACATGATAAATATTTAAATAAGGTGAAAATTTCGTTATAAACTGTTTAATATTATATTCTTAGCAAACTTATAAAATTTTGGAACACCGATTATCAAAATTATTATTTATTTAATAAACATACCTATTAGGAATGTTTAGTACACTAGGTAGTAATAATTTTCAAATGCTGAAAACATATGATTTACTTTTTCTAACTTTGAAATACAGAAACACAACAATACAATATGCATACATTGATATGCATCTCTTATTAATGTTTTCATCAAATAAAAAAGCACCAATCTAATATTTTTTATATTAAAATTTTGAAATATTTAAAAATATTTTAATTAAGTTATATTATACACGTTATGGTAAAAAATTATATTATTAGTTATCAATAGGTATAATATGTATAACTATATTATTTTTATTTTTATTAATAATTGTGTGTATAATTATTGTATTATGTTATTAATAATATAAAATATAAAAAAACTTACCTAAAGCGTATAATATAAGTACGTATACATAAATATGAAATAAAAAGTATGATTAAAGATACATTGACATATTTTATTTGTTTAATAAAACTTGATATGCTAACTAAAAACAAATATTCATAATAATAGTGAAGATTAGTATACGTACTTTAATAACTTTATGTGTGTATACCTCACTAAATAGAAATAGTTTTAATATAATTGTTTTTTCTATTAATATTTTGATATATTTTAAATTAGATCAACATATAATAGTTGTTCATTGTTCAATAATTACTATTAAGTGTATACAATCAAATTACAATAAATTGTAATAGATTCGCATACGTGTACTTGAACATTGCGATAAAAAGCAAAGTTTATTTTTTTAATAAACCTACTAATAGCTATTTTACTAAGTCAAGGATAACAGTACTTATTTAGTATTTGTTTCAATAACGGTTTTAGGTTGTCAAGGTTTAGTTGACTTTTCCAGATTACAATTTCATAGCATTATTTAATAAACATCTTTATATTATTCTTATATCTATTCCAAAAAATAACGCGATATTCATGAGTAGGTGATTAATTTTTCTAAATTTCAATAACATCAAAACTATTTTAAACAATAACACTTAAATTCTGTTTAAGAACTTATAATGTTGATGTACGTTATGTGTTTATTAAAAAACTATTCTAAAAAAAAAAAACGATAAATTAATTTTTAATGACTCAATTTTGCTTTAAAAACCGAGTCAATAGAGTCATAGTATTATTTGCTTAAATAATTAACCCTTACCTTTTATACTTTGTACTTTATATCATTTTTCTAGAAATTACTCAACATTTTTATAAAATAAACTGAGAATTCGTAATTTGCATCAAAATAAAGATATGTAATTTATATTACTGTGGCAGGTTGCCAAAAGTAATGTTTGTAATTTGTGCTAAATAAGGGCATGTAATTTGCACCAAAATCAAAATCAATAGTTATAAGATATAATACGTTCTATTAAAAGAATAATCATACAAGTTTCAACATTTGATTACATTTTTAACTTCATTTAAGTTCTTACCGATTTTCGACAGATACGTACTACGTATATAAAAATATCGAGTTTACATATACCTAATCGAATGATTTTTCAAACAAGTGAACGAACAAATCAATTTAAAGTTGTTTTAGACCAGTATAATAATAAATTTATATAAACAACTCCATTCATTGAATTAGTTGAAAACAAAAAAAAACCTTTAAATATCAAAACATAAATTGTAATCTAACTAATTTTGTAATCAATATAACAGCAGTTCGTTTTATTATTTTTAAATTCATACTTATACTTTTTTAATTAATATTTCTTATACTATCTTTTTAACTGATTAACATTTTTATAATAACAAGACTTTTTGTTACCAGCACAAAAATACATACTTAATTATATTTTTGCCTAAAGCATTATATTATTATTTATAAAGTATAGATTTTAAGTCAATACCGACGTAGAATGGTATAAGTATTTTTTAGACGAGTAAAATAACCACTCAGTATCTATAAGTATAAACAGAATATTCAATTTCTTAAATTGTTCATATCTCAATATATTATACTCAAATATCGAAACTTGTACGACTATTCTTTCGATAGTACCTATCTTACAATAATCGATTTTAATTTTGGTGTAAATTACATACCCTTATTTTGGAACAAATTACAAACGCAGTTTAAAAAATTTGGTGCAAATGACACACGTTGTTAATATTTAGGATCAATTTTGGTGCAAATTGACTACACCCGATAAACTAATGTGTAATTTTAGATATTGTAAAATACTTTTTCAAATTAATATAACAGCTACATATATATTTATATATATATATATATATATATATATATTATATATTATGTAACTACTGAATATTGACAAGTTTTTATTTTTCTTGCAAAATTATTTTAAATTTTAAATTGATATATAACGTAAATTCCTGTTAGTTGAAAATATATACAGATATAATATTTTATAAAAACACAACTTTCCTATGATATTATCATAAATTTACTGATTTTTCATGTTCAAAAGGAATTCATGTAAAATGTAGATACTATGTATAATATTTACATATTATTACTAGTTAACACTTTTTCTTTTTTATTTACTTAATTTTTATTTCCACAATCTGTTACATAAATTTTGAACAACAAGTGAAATTGATGAATTTGATAATTGTGGCGTGAAGGACGGATTAAAGATACCTTCCAGTGAAGGCACTTTTACAGTTAAAGATGTAAGAAAAAAAAATATTAAACTACAATATTAGGAGATATTATATGTGGAAAGATAAGTAGAAATAATAAAGGTAGTATAGAAAAAAGAACAAAAAGTATTTGATTGGTCTAGACTAATAGGTCCCTACACCACCGCAGTTAACGCTTTAACAGTCTATTTAGTACTTTAATGTTAATGTATAATAAATAATAATATATGTTGTAGGTATGATATGATAATAATAATAATAATTATATTTATTAGGTATTGTTAATATTATTGGTATTCATAGATATATTATATATTTTTATTATTGTTTAACAATACCATTATTGTCAGATTAAAGTTATCTTTTCAGATATTTGACACTAATTTTATTTTTAAAATTGGATAAATAAATTATGTATATATAGATAATTATTAATTGGTCATTAGTTTTTTAATAATATATCATATTATTATTATTATTATTATTATTATATTATAATTTATTGCTAACGGTTAGAAATAAAACAATGATAAAGTATATTAAAAAATTATAGAATAATAATATAAATATAAATATCAACAATAAATTTTGATACCAGTAATTTTTTGATTTTATGTTAAATTACTTAAATCCTTATTTAGTTAAAATTATAAATGATTTTAAATTAGGTTAATTTAATTAATTTATATAAGGTGAATAAAAGATTTGTATTATTATTATTAAATCCTGCTTATGGTTAATGATTAATAGTACTTTTAATTATTTATCACTTACTATAACAAATTTTGTCTTTTATGAGGTTATTGTAATCTGTAGATTGGCATCCAATTCCTGATCATATTTAGTTATTATAACTTACAGTTTTCCTTTAACAAAAAAATGAAACATGTATTGGAAAAAATATATATGGCCATTATTTATTAAAAATTTTCAAAATATAAATATTAATATACCAATGAATATAGTTTATTACTTTATTTTGTTTATTAATGTTGTTATATACCCCCTTGACAATTAGTGAGTACGTATTTGATGTGAGTTGTGTATAATAACTATAATAGGTAAATATTATAATATTGTATACTTACATCTGTCATTTGTTACTATAAATAAACGCGTTCAATGTCCATATAGTATGATAAAATAAATGTATGATGTAATTGTAAATATTAAATAATAATGAATTTTTATTGATATAATAAATATTTAAATTGATGTTAATTTCCCACGTTTATTATGTAATTAAACAAATACCTATAAAATATTGATACATATAGCAATTTATTTTAATTTCGTTGTCATACTATTATTACGCATTACTCAAATTCCGTTAGTGATTATATTCCTTAGACAGAACTGATAACGGATCAATTCCAAACTCCAAGGTGATGAAACATTTTATCGACCATCCATTAGTCACTGGAAAATGCACAACGTTTCTAATCTTTTAGTCTTTATAGCATATCCAAAACAAACCTTTCAGAGTGTACAAGTGGCTTAGTAATAATAATTTGCGTTGTCCCTGTATTGAATTATAGTTTTGTGGGAATGTTTAAAGTGTTTTTGGGTGGAAGATTTAAAACCGAAGTAAAACTCAAGTCAACTGATGCGTGTCATTGTGCTGTGATCACAGAAATAGAATACTATTTAAACTCGTGACCATAGCTAAATATGACGGACGAAAGTTGGATAGACCAGAACAAAATCAAAAGTTACGAATTTCTACTTGGTGAGTAACGCTATTAATCTCGTGATTAAATTTTGTAATATATATATATTAATCATTTGTTCATTGCTGAACGTAGAACGTTTGGTAGGAGGAAAGATGGCTGTGTACATTAAGAAATTTGAAATACTCCAAAAAGAGACAGCCAACTCCATCATGCTTAGCGATTGTGTGCCAGTCATAATGGACCTAATCACATGCGATCTGAATGTAGACAAAGCATTACGACAATCATTGCTCCGTAGTCTTGTTCAAAGTCAGTAAAAAAAAAAAAAACTTTCTCTGCTATACAGTAAATTTTGAGTCAATAATAGATTATTACATAAAAAAAATGATTTTGAGTAGTGACGGTTTAACTTAATTTTTCAAGAATATTTTATAATATTAAAATAAAAATACTATAATTATTATCAGTATTAACTGTTATTTACGAATATCTAAGTAAATTATGGCTTTAAGACTTGTGTGAATAATTTCGTGGTATAAATAGCTTTAAACCAATCAAAATATTTTTTAGATTTTATAACTTAGATTAAATAATAATAAATGTAGTTAAAATGTTTCAAGTACCTATAAATGATATTTTTGAAATTACAACAAAATAACATTAAAATCAAAATTAAACTAGAAATTTCTTTAAAAATAAAATTGCGAATTTATATTTTTGAAATTATTAGGTCACTGTTAGAAAAAATTAAATAAATCTTATAATAAATTTCAAGCTTTAGGTATAATTTTCAGCCAAAATTTAATTTGTGAATTTTTGTAATATTGATAAATAATGTTAAAATTTGAGCTTCAAATTCTTATGAAAAAAATTGTATCTTAATATTCTTAAATGCTATAAAAATAAAAACTTTTTTAATTTTTGAAATTTTTGACTAAACCCCAAATATAGTTATTAATATAATGTTCTTAGAACTGAAAATAAATACAGTTGTAAAATTATTTTATTCATTGTTGCACAATCTTCTCAGCATCTAAAATTGAAGAATATATTAAAATCAAAATAAAACACCTTCAATCGGTTCTAACTGGAATAATAATTATTTATTAAGTGGTTGTTTCGTCGGAAAATGTTGTACAAAAGCTCTCGGCTGCATGGAAAACAGATGTCCTGTTGGGAAACCTGGTCCGAGTCATGCGTGAACACGTCATGACACAATACAAACACTATCAACTATATACACATAATGTGGTCATCGTGATGAAGTGTTTGGCACAAGTTATGTGAGTATGACGTAGACTGTAGAGAACGCAATTGAAATATTTAAGATTTGTACTGCTATGAAGTTGAAATACATTTAGAGAAATACCTAAAATATCCTGTGGTTGCTTGTACTTGAAAAAAAATAAAAATGTAATATTTATATTCTATAATGTAGTCAATATGTTATTTTTGGTGATTTGGCTTTAATGAAAAATGTTGTGATCTGTGAACTTTTTTGATACTCTTTTTATAAGTACAGTTAATTAGATAATGATGTTATTAATGGTTAATTTCCTCCTAATGTAATCCGTAAATATTATAACAATATAATGCAAACATAAACTATACACTTTTTATATTGCAACGTACGTACAAATTGTTATATTATTTAAAATTAAATTTAAAAAAATTATAGAAAAACGTATATTTTAAAGAAAAAAAAAATACTTGAATATATTTATTTCAAGATCTCATGAATATTTTCTTATAAACAACTATTTTTAAATACTTAATTTTATTATTAATTATTTTCATTATTTTTAGTACTATTATTATTTTGAAGATTATGAACATATTATATCACATAATCTACGAATTCCTACATGGGCTTGGATAAGATAAGTACGTCTGTACATTTGACATCAGTTTAATAGTAACAGTAATAATATTAAAAATATTAAACTAGTACCTATGTAGATATTTACATATTATATTATGCTATTTTCATTCCAAGAGTATGGTAGTATATAAAAATTAAAACATATAATGTTTAGATACTGGGTAAGTATGGTTTATTTTTATTCTAACCTATTATTCATTTTTTTAGTATCCATATGTTCTTATTAACTATTAAATATTAACTGATTATAATCTATCTATAAACTATCAAATTTATTCCATTTGCTAGATTCAGTATTTATCGTGTTTATATAAAATATTCTTAAAACATACGCCGTGCGTCGTAAAATACCTACAAATGGAATATATTATGATATTTTGTCTATACAAGTTTGTATAGATGAAAAATGTAATGGGGCGCAACATATATTTATGCCCAATAAAGATAATAAAACTTTATTCATATTGAAACATATAATCATCACGTGCAAATAATTGGATTTTGTATAGGTACATTAAAATGGTACAATAACAAAAACAAATTACTAAAATCGTTTATGATAGATACCTAATTCTTATTATGTTCGACAGAGTAGTAAAAACTATATATTATTTCATACTTAGGTATTTTATTGACTCTGAATTAGTTTTATATTTTCTACAGGAAAAACAACAAATTTAAAGAGAACAAGTTCATCCAGACCACGTATTTAGTGGGTAAAGATAGTTGTACTATGTTAGATGTACTTCTGAAACCCATGCAGTATCTAGTAAGCATGAATAAGATGTTTAACGATTTGGGTTGTTTGTTGCTGAACACCGAGGATACAAACTATTTAGGCGAAATAAAACGTTATTTAACTCAGGTATAAATCGAAAAAAAAATATTATTTTTATAATAAATAATAAATAATTCACAAAAAAAAAAAAAACAACATAATATTCGCATTATATTTTATATAATCATGTATGCGAATAGTACTATTTTATTTTGTGAACTCACAAAACATATTTTATTGGTATTTGTAGGTTTTTAACAAGATCCAGAGCAAACTCGATCTAGTATCGGAAATTATCGATCAAATAATTAAACAGTATGAGGGACGGTGCAACAAAACAAAATTAGCCGATGAAAAATGGAAAAAAATAAAGTGAATTTTTTATAATACATTTTCACGAATAACTATTATATCATTAATTGCAAACCATTTTATTGTTGTTTCAGAGACAAACTCGTACACATTTTTGAAATCACCATTGTTGCACCTTGTTCGTTTACTTTCAATTTATATTTAAATTACTATTTTCCTAACGAAGAACACCTAAATGAGTATTTAATCACTTTAATTATATAAAAAAAAGGTATTATACATAATCAAAATTCTCAATTTGTTTATTTGTAATTTTCTTTTGCATTATTACATTGGTTATACATTTTAATAAAATTTATTTTTATTAGACAACATTAATTCGACTATAAGTTTTTTTTTTTTTAGTTTTACACTTAATTCAGTAAAATTTACAATTAAGATTTTTTTTAATTTCATAAACGTTAATTATTTTAAATTACTATTATTTTATCTAAGTAAAAATGTTATGACTAATTATTATATTCTAACAATTAGTTTATAATACATAAGGTAGTTAAACCTTAGTAATTTTTTTTTTGTATTTTTTATTTCGTATACTTCATAAATTAACAATTTATTATTTTTAAATGTTTATTTTTATATTTTAATTAAATTTTTATGATATGTTTATATTATTTATAAGTATTTAAATTTAAATTTTATTCGATTACCGAAGAGTAACAGCATGTATTTTTCTATTACCGTAGTAAACGATATGGAATATTAAGTAAGCCGTAATAGATATTATTTTTGTTTAATTTTAATTTTTTAACTTGTAATCATAGTTATGACATGGGATTTACATTTAATAATATTTTGTTAAAATATTCAAAAACTATCATATTATACTTATTATTATTTTTGTTTTTCAATCGGTTTATAACCAATATACATTACATATTAATTATAAGTGTTGAAATGTTTACATCCATATATTATAATACCTAGCTTTATTAAATTATACTCGCACATTTTATTAAAACATAATTTCTAATTATGGTGTTCATTTAATTTTTTGAATTGTCAAATTCATGTTAGATTTTAAATGGAGCGATGAATGTATTAATTTTATAATGATGTGTTTGAAAATATTTTTTAAAGTAAATTTTCAACATTAAGGCTAATTTCTGGTATTCAATCAGGGGATCAAGAATAAACAGTTCCTGGTACCGTTTCAAAATAATTAGAAACTATTTAATTATTTGATAAGTTGGGTTACAGTACCACTATGGTAAACAAAAATAAAATATGAATACTAAGAATGCTTAATCTAACTATATTAATACTTAATACATTTATATGATAAAATCAGATTTTTATTTTTTTGTTTACTCACCTAAATCAACTCTAAATCACGAATAATTTTTTTGTGAAAATGTATTAACTAAATTACATTTATAATTTATAATGTATTTATAAAAAACAATTATATTTTATATCTATACTATTAATTAGATAAGTAAGTTAATAAACATTTTTTAACAATCAAAATTCTGTTGAAACAATTTATTATACATCGACCGCCTTACAACAATTTAAATTACACTATTATAAATGTATACATAACTACACTTAACCTGTCGCCAAGGTTGTATTTCTTTTTTTAAATATATAGGTATGGGAGACGGGCCTCCGAAATAATTTTTTTATTAATACAAAAGTTGATAAAAATCAAAAGTAAAAAATAATAATAAACAAAAATATTATTATGAAAAACGTAATTTGTTTCCCCTCCCCAACTGTCGCCTTTAAATTGTATTTATTTAAGCCTTGCTATTCACCTCTTGTTGTTGTGCGCTTGTGCTTATATTACTACTATTATTATTTATTATCAATTATCATCGTTAACTTAGTCAGTCTCGATAGAAAATTGATGAGTGATAACTGTTTTCATATCAGATAACACGTGGGGCCGTGATTGCTTTATTTGAATTAGTTACCGAGTCAATAAATATAAAACAGCAACGCGCTAAGTAATCATAATCCAACCAAATCAGTGATTAATTTTATCTCTATTCTACATCCAATGTTCATTTTATTTTACCAAAACAGGCTTAATACGAGTATACGACATATTAATTATTTTTATATTATTATATTATATAAAAGTTAAAAATATAAGCCAATTCACTAACATAGTATATCTATATAATCGGATTTTCACCATTTGACATTATTTCTGTGGTAGAGTATGTTAGTACCTATTATTACGATTCCTCAAGCAATTAAGTATTACTTCTACCACATGCAGTGTTGACACAACCCTGCCCTAGTGTTTTCTCATAGGTATATATATATATATATAATTATAGCAGTCATAACTCTAAAAATCCATTATTAGGTAACCCATAGGTACAGTGAAAATAATTATTTATTAATTTATGACGATAGATTTATTTCAGTATAGTCTTTGTATGTAAAAATAAATATAATAAACATTTTATTATAATCAATACATTTTTTTTGCTTACAATTTGTTTGTGTTTATTATTACAGTTATTAAAGCCATTAGTGATTTCTAATTTTTAAACAAAATTAATGCTAAATAAATTATAAATGTATTAGTTATTATATTAAATTTATTTATGTAGTCTTACTGTGAATAATAAATTGATTGACATAAATAATTCTAATGATCTTGAAAAAGAAATCTATGTATGTATTAGTTTTATAATTAAAAATACAGCTGTGTGCAATGATTAAATCGTATGATCATCGCAAGTTATATAAAATACATTACAGTGATTTTCGAACAATTTTTATTAAAACAACGTCTAAATCGTAGTTGTTCGTATGTTTCACGACTTGATGTAGTTTTTTATCTGCTAAACATGAACAAGGATCAGGTTATGTTTAGGCGTATGTAACAACACACGCGATTGCGATTCATTTTCAGTTTTACACGTCAGATTAGATCTCGAACATTGAAATAAGACATAAAACATAAAACATAAATGTATTACTATTTACAGCCTATATGTATAATTCGTAAACAGTGTACCAACATTCGTGTATTATTGATATGATACTAAATATTCTACAAATAATGTGTGATTTTTTTCTGGCTGTTTCCGACATTTATTCATTTATCACAAAATTTACTATATACATTAATAGGATGTATCACATAGTGACTATAACTGCAATTGATAGGTAAGTGTATTTCGCGGAGGTTGTAGGTATATAATTTTGTAATGCACGTACATTTTTATAAAAAAAAAAATTATAATATTTTGATCCATGATGTTAAAAAACTCAAATCTATAAATGCATTATAATTTATACAGCTGTTTGATATCCATCCAAAAAAAAAAAAAAAACAGATTTTTATTATTTTTATTAATATAAAACGGGTAGTGGATAATATAAATTCTAAGCGTTAAATTTATGAGAGAAATCCGGATCTAATTGAACTAAAATGTCTGAATATTCCTGAATAGGTAATACCTATTAGAAATATTACATGCTTGAACGAATTTTTCAAATACTTCTTACGGAATAGAAATCTTATCATCGTACATAAATTATCCATAGAGCGGCTAAAGCCATATAAATAGGTCCATGAAACGATTTCGGCACAAATATTTTTATTTTGTGGCTGAATATAATAGGTGTGGAACAATATAACGCAACTATACGATTTATATACAATATATGTCTATAATAATATGCGTAAAGTACAAATGTACGAGGAGAATAATATAATATTATACAACATTTTTTAAAATTCTTTCTATAAATTACTTAAATATATTTTAAAATCCATACAATATAATTTTATTCATATATTTTTTAAATATCTTCTATTATATGTTTGATTATAGTGTATAAATTCCTATATAAGCTATATAATTAAATCACTACATAAGTATTTAAACCGAAGAACAATTATGTGCCTATATTTTACTATTTAATTATTTTATAAGACTATGTAGGACACAATTTGTTTTAGAAATGCGTTAATAATATTATTATGCGTTAGTTTTCATAAATAACTATGTAACACGTAATTCTATGATCACAATTAATTTTAGTTGGTTTTGAAAAAAAATATTTAACAATTTATTCACTTTAAAATAATGATTGCGTCAACTTACTTTTCATTACATTTACTATCAAGTGTAATAACTCAACTTGAAATTACAAAATACTAAATAGTAATATTTATATTATAATCACTAGGTAGAGACAATATAAGTAAACAAGTTACCTACATTAAAATACAAATATCTAAGAAAGTATGTTTTATTGATATAAAATAGCAATATTAATCGAAAATATAATTTATATATTTATACAGGTTGTAGAAAACTAAAAAAAAAAAATGTCATAAAAATGATTTTAATCGTTGTAAATAATAATTACAAAATTATATGTCAGTATGTCTATTTAAATATCTTAGATTATTATTATGCAATCCATTTAGTTCTATATAAAATATGTAGGTATTCTATCACATAAATTAAATCACGTCATACAGGTGGATAATGACAACGTTTGCACGTATCCACCCTGCATACGTGGTAACTTTTTATCCTTACACTGCGTCAATGTCATCGACCTGGTACTGCACAGGTCTTAGTTCATCGTAGCCTTTCAAGAAAGTAACAGTAGCAGTATAACTAGTTTATACAACGAAAACAGTCCTTTTCCGGACTACTTAACGCGGTTAAAGATATATAGCTAATATCGATTGAATGTTTAATTATTTTAAAGGTTTACATAACATATTATAATATAGAACTTTAAAGTTTGTACAGCTTGTCAAATAAACATATTTTCAAAAACGTTTTTAATTTATGTTAATCTATATTGTATAATGTATGTTATATATTATAATCGATTGTTTTTGAGACAACCAAAAATCATTGAAGTTACCCCGGCTTAACATGTTTTAAAACCTTTTTTATTGTGTTATGTTCGTGAAAATGACCAGACTTCTTTTATGAAAACATTAGTAAGGAAAGCTGTTTTTTAAAAAGTTAATTAAATAACATAAATAATTTTATACACTTATAATTCAAAGAAAAAATTAATAAAAACATCATGTGGTGAGGGTAGGAAATTATATTCTATAGAACGCGTTCATTGGATAATATATTATCGTATTTAAGGCGTTAAAGTACACAGTTTAATATAAGTTTAATTAAAATATATAGAAAATTAGAAATCAAGTTAGTATGTAAAAATATATTTAATTAGATATACAAATAACTCAAAATTGA